TGGTGATGATGGTGATGGTGGTGATGATTATGTTGGTGATAGTGGTGGTGATGGTGATGGTGATGATGTTGTTGTTGGTGGTGATGGTGATGATGATGATGATGGTGATGATGATAATGGTGATGGTGGTGATGGTGATGATGGTGATGGTGATGTTATTGTTGTTGGTGGTGATGGTGATGATGGTGATAATGGTGATGGTGATGGTGATGATGGTGATGGTGGTGATGATTATGTTGGTGATAATGGTGGTGATGGTGATGATGGTGATGATGTTGTTGTTGGTGGTGATGGTGATGATGGTGATAATGGTGATGGTGATGGTGATGATAGCTATGATAGTGATGGTGATGACAGTGGTGGTAGTGATGGCGGTGATGGAGGTGATGATAGATGGTGGTGATGGTGGTGATGGTGATGGTGATGGAGGACAACCAGTGGGACTCTACCCTCCTTGCCCTGCCTTTGTCCCAGCTCAGGTTCTCTGGTATAAAACTGTAGCCAAGCCAGGTTTTTCCCACTCAGGGCATGGACAATTAACATATTAGCCCCAGGTCTTTAGATTTTTGTACTAAAATGATGGGCTTCAGCGCTCAGCTCACTACAGCTGCTAGAGCACCAGTTCTAACTAAGCCCTGCTGTGGTGCCGAGAGCCCTGTGCACCCCTTCTTCATCTGGTTCTAGCTGGACAGACTCCCTGGTGGTGTTTTCTAGAGGCCAGCCCTACCGCAGGCCTCAGTGAGATGCCACCTTTGACCTAAAGGGCTCAGGTCTAACAGGGCTGATGAGAGAGGCAGTTCCAGAGGTCTTTGTTAGCAGGGTTCAACCCCAACATGGACAAGCCACCAGCTCAGCCTTCCTGGACGGACCTGTGAGGCTCCGTGAACCTGGCCCTGCCCAGGCAATGCCGGCACCCTGCTCACACTGGACTGTGTGAGGACAGGACTGTTCAAGTAGTGAAGTGAGGGAACATTGGAACAGACCAGGGAAGACGTCTGGAGTCTGAGAAGGGACGGCAATGCCCTGAAGCCTTCTATGGTAGGTGCCGTGCTGCGGGCTCCACTCCAGCAGCACAGGAGACAGGGTGGTCCCCTCCCCGCTCCCATTGTATGCTGTGGCCTGCTCTGCCATGCCCCTGCGCTGCGCAACCTGCCCAGACTCTAGGGTTCTGACCTTGAGGGCTTGGGAGCTTTCCAGGTGGAAGATGCTGTCCGTGAGGGATGCCAGCTCCTGGGGGTCCGGGGAAGTGGCTTTCTGTTCACTGCTCCAGAGGGGGGCTCCCTCTGCACCAGGCTGGGAGACCTCCTTGGAGGTCAGCGATTCCACCTGAAAAGTTTCTCCTGCTGGCCGGACGGAGACAGAGCAAGGTGAGGCAGCGCAAAGGTGGCTCAGGCCTAGGTGGTGACGGGGGCCGTTAGGATGGGGTCATTATCTGCAAATGGGTCAGGCCTGTGGCCTGGGCCTGGAAGTTGGGGCAAGGCCATTCTAGGGTTATGGCTGAGATCAGGGTTGGGTTTGGGGGTAGATTTAGGAGAGGTTAAGTTCAGGGCACTGGTGTGAGTCCACCCCGGCCCGTGGTTGGGGTGGGGCCAGGTGTGCCAATGGTGGCCCGCATAGGCTCACCTTTTTGGCGCATCAGGAGCTGGTAGAGATGGCCCATCCCTTCCAGGCTGGAGTGCTGGATGGCCCTATCCGGGTCCTGGCACAGAATCCCCAGCATGCCCACTAGCTGCCCGATGCGTTTGAGGCCCTCCTTTGGCTGTGTTGAGAGTGCAGGGGACCACTGAAGGCAGAACCTACCCACGGAGTCCCCAGGCGGCCACACATGCACCCAGCCCAGCCGGAGGGTCGGAAGGATCCCCTCAGACTGTGTGGCCGGGCCAGGCGAGGGAGTGGGCAAAATAAAGGGGCTGCCAGAGTCTTAGCAATCAAGAGAGATGATGTTAATGTCAATACGATAGTAAAAAAGTCAAAATGAACACAAACAAAAAAGTGTGACAACCTTAAGTAAAGACAGGGTCTAACCCTGCCTGACCCCAATCCTGGCCCTGGTTCCAATAAAACTTCACTGATGGAAACAGGTGGCTGGCTTGTGGGCCACGGTCACATCCATCACGGGGCCCTCTAATCATGTTAAAGCAGGGTGGATCTTGATGGTGGAGGTCCTGGCACTCCTGTAGGGCCTGAGGCCATCACCCCTCACCTGCCTTACTCTGGTCCCAGTCCTGGGTGTGGACGTGGGTATGAGCAAACTGAAGCCACTTCAAATCCCTCTAGGACTGCAATGACCTTTCCGTGGTGGCCGACCCTGCCCTCTGCAGTCCTGCGCCTCCCTGCCCTGGGGCGGTCCCCAGCCTCCTGTAGTTAATGGTGACTGGCTGGCACAGGCAGAAGCTCCACCAGCGGCAGGGAGCCAGGTTCCCGAGCCCAGGACCTCAGGGGCCGTGGCGCAGGGGAGGCCCACTGGATGCAGGCAGTGGGAAGGGGTGCTCCACGCTGCACCCCTGGGCCCCCACCAGGTGCAGGCTTGGGTTCAGAGCCTGTTCACAACCTGAAGCTCACCTGACTCCCACCAACCTCTCAAGGAGGAGCCATTTCCACTCATTTTACAGGTGAGATGCAGAGGCCAGGGGAACACTGCCCCAGGCCACAGAGTGCATGGCTAGAGCGGCCTCCTGGGTCAGGGGCAGTGTCCTCCTGGTTCAGAGCCCAGCAGAGAGACCTTGACCAGGGTCCTTTCCCCCAGCCTGTTTCTTCAAGTTCTGAAGAGGGTGAGGACACTCTGTAAAGGGGACATTACCTGGGTGCCATGGAGCCCTGTGGGGGTTGCAGGGGGCTGAAGTATAGGCTCCGGCCTGGAGGTATGGACACGAGCCCTCCAGCTCGCCAGAGCTCCCCTGCAGGCTGCAGGGTCCCTGGGCTCCGGGGCTAGAAGCCCCGCTGCAGAGGGCATTCGGGGCCCGGTACTCACATCTAGGCAGCGTTTGTGGTTCAGGAATTTGAGGAGAGTCACACAACTGTGCACGGCCCGCTGCCGCTCATGCGCCTTCTCCGATGCCAGCCAGACGTACAGGTGCTGCAAGATGGGCGGGGTCGGGGGCCATCTGCAGCCCTGGCGAAGTAAGGCCCCGCCCACCACTGGCTCAGGCCCCGCCCCAGCCCCGCCCTCGGCTAGGCTCCTGGGCTTCGCTGGCTGGTTCTGTCTTTCCCAGGCCACCAGCAGCACGCCGCCCAGTCCTTCTGTTCCCAGGAGTCCTGCCACGGGCGAGGCCATTTTCTCCCATGGGAAGCCCTCTGGGGCTCCGGTTTCTTAACCTGCCATGTGCCCTAAGCCCTTTCTAGACCCGGAGTCACAGGGCGCTAGCTGCGGCTGGGCTGGGCTGGGCTAGCCTCCTCAGCCTGTCTGTGGGGCGCAGTGCGCTCCCTGAGTTGGGGTTCTGGGGAGGGTGAGGACACTGTGTTTGGAGACTGGGCCACCCGGCGATGGCCTGGGGAGCCTTTATGACTTCCAGCGCTGGCACCCATGGCCCCTCTGGGACACCCGGGGGCTGTCTGGCTACTTGCCAGGCAGGTGGCACTTGCTCCTGCCCACCTCCCACTCCTGACTTCTACCTGTGTCCCAGGCCCCCAGGCCCTGCTTCACCTCAGCCCAGCTCCTTGCCCAAGCCAGAGGGGTCCACCCTGCCGCCCTGACCCCCGCCCTACCCACTGCACCCACCTTGCTGCCCGCTGGTCATGAGAACTCCACACCCACACCCCTCCTTTGACCCTGTGCCCTCTGCTTTGGGGCCCTTTCCTGGCCAGGGACCTCCTTAGTCCTCATTCAGGGCGAGTTGATGAGGGCCCACTGGCCCTGACCTCTGACTGTCTGGCCAACCCCTAAGCCTGGGTGGTCACTGCCCCGTGTTGGTCTCCCCCCTGACCAGGCAGGACTCCTGGAGGGCAAGCAAAGATGAGAGCCATAGGCTGAGGCCTGGGGTCACTGCTGCAGGGGAAGGGCCCTGGGGGTGCACTTCCTCACCAGACCTCACCCCAGGCTACACCTGCTGCCCCTCCCTCCCCTCCACTGTGGGAAGACCCCCATCCAGGCCCTGCTTCCTCTGAGCCGCCCTCCGGGGGCCTCCAAGCCCAGGTCTGACGACATTCCCCCCACTCCCCCGCTGCCCAGCCAGCCTCACCGACAGTAGAAAGTGCAGCTCTTCGGCCGTGGGGCTCTGGGTGATGAAGCTCTGCAGCATGCAGTCCAGCGCCTCTGTGGTCTGGCTGTACAGGGTCTGCCCGTGTGGGGGAGGGGTGGAGGTCCCAGGTCTGCCTGCCCCTGGGGGTCCTATTGCCTGCACAGCCCCAGGCCTGGTGGCGGCCATGAGCAGTGCCCGGAGTCCCTCTGCAGGGAGAGCTTCTACTATTTAACAGAACCTAGGAAGGGGCAGTGAGTGGGCCAGGTGCTGAGCACGGTCCTGGAGCCCCTCCTTCAGCCTGGCTGGGCAGTGGTGGGCTGGGCGAGGCCTGAGGGGGCTTGGCCAGGCTAAGCGGCTACGTGGTGAGACTGAGCCTGTCGCTGGGGAAGGTGGCTCCAGGGGTCGCAGGCCTTAGTGGCTGAGTCGGGATTCTTGGGCTCCTGCAAGGCTGGGAAACTCATCCTTTAGAGAGAGGCAACTCTCCCCCCTTGGGCTGCTGGGGAGCTGGGAGAGTAAGGAAGCCTAACTCCGCCTTGGAGCCAGCCGCAGGGCCCTGCAGTGTGCTCAGTGCTGGGGTAGCCAGCCTCCCCCAGGCTTGTGCTGAGGATCAGCGGGGAAGCTGCTCATATCCCTGCTCACAGGCTGCTGCACAGCCACACGCACCCAGGATCTCATTTCAGTCACTCGGGTTGAAGGCCACCCGTTCTGCCATTATCACCCCACTTCACAGGTGGGAAAGCGGTGCAGTTAGGAGACTGCAGGGTCCCCGGCCCTGCCTGGTGGTGGTCAGGACCCTCCCGCCCAGCCCCCTTGCTGGGCATGCCCTTGTGGGAGCCTCACCTGGATGTTGGGTGGCTCCAGAAAGAGGCAGGTGTGCTTCTCCAGGGCGTCCAGAAGCGGCAGAGCGAACACACTGCGGAGGCAGGTGGAGAGGAGCCGTGATTTCCTGTTCGTGTCCATGGGTGGCCTCATCTTGCTGTTGGAAGACAGAGGGCAAGAGCCTGACACTGCAGACCTTTTAGCTTTCTGCCTCTTGCAGACTCGTGCGTACCCTGCTGCTCTGGTGTCCTTGCTGGCCCTCTAACAACTCAGGTGTGTGCCACCCGCAGGGCCTTTGCACTGGCTGTCCTGGCAGCCAAGGGTGTGCAGGGCTCACTCTCACCCTGCAGGGGCTTTGCTCAGGCCCCTCCCGGGGCATCTTAACTCAGCCTTAGCCCGCAAGGATGGTGACCCTCCCCATCTCACTTCCCTGCTGCAGGCCCCAGCACTTCATCAGAGACACCTGTGGTCTGAGTACTGACAGTCCCTCCCCAATTATATGCTCTTGGAGAACAGGGACTCTCCCTGCTCACTCCCCTCTGCGTCCCCAGAGCCCAGGATATGCCTGAAGAGCGCAGGAGGGTCTCATGCTTCTAGGAGGCCTGGCACAGGGGCGTGGGGAGTCGGGTGCCTCACGGGGAGGGGCTTAACCAGTCTCACAGTGGACATCCGCCAGCTCCTCCTGCCCTCTCCCTGGGCTGCCAGGGTCGCCTGCCGCCTGCCTGTACTCTGCAGCCCCAGAGTAGGCAGCTCTGGATTCCCTGGGTCCCACTCCTAGGCATCCCACCCAGCTAGGACAGGGACACCAGGTGTACCCTCACCGGTCTGTGGGTGGGGCCCTCAGTGGGGCTCTGTCTTGTGGCCTGGACCCCAAGCCCCTGGAGTCTGCCTTGACCCTCTCCTGGGGTTGACGGAGGTGTAGGCTGTGAGCATCTGGAGGGTCAGTTCCCCAGGGAGAGGCTGTGTCCAGATGCTGCAGCCTGCGTGGGCTGCCCCTCCATGCATGGCTTAGGCCCAGGCCTGCCAACATCAAGCCAGGCGGGGGCTGCTGGGGGGAGGGCTGTGGCTGGGAGCCTACCAGAGGCTGCTGATGATGTGGAGGGCCTGCGGCCTGCTCTCCGTGCACAGCACGTCCTGGGGCTCCTTCTCCATCAAGACCTGCAAGTCCCCAGGCAAGGGCCTGCGCTCAGGCTCCGCCCGCCCGCCTTTGATACCAGGTCCCTGCTCAGCCTCCATGCCTTGGTGCCTGTGTCCCGTGACCCTGGCCCTCACCCACCCGGAGGGTCCTCTGTGCCTGGGGTCTGGCAGGTCAGATCTGGGTCCCTTAGGCCAGGCTCCAGAGGCGCTCCAGAGGGGCGTGGAAGTGCTCTGGAGACCCACCCCGCTCCTCCAGCAGCGGCCACCAAGAAGGCCTGGTCTAGGGCGCAGCCTCCACAGGGGCCTGGTACGCACCATCAGACACTCCAGCAGCTCGGAGATCTGCGAGAACTCGTAGCTGTGGGCACCCTCATTCCGGCTGATGGCCCCCATCAGCATCAGGTTGGCAGTGAGGAAGCTCTGCTTCAGGGTCTCGTCCTGCATGGGGCCAGGCCCAGGACCAGGGGGACCAGTCAGGAAGAGGGCCCCGGAGTGCATGGGAGCCAGCAAGGGGTGAGGCTGATGTCTTGGGGGCAGTGGGGTCCCAGCAGAGAGCACCAGCTGGGAGCCACCTGGGGATGTCTCTAGGAGGGGGCAAACGAGGCGACAACACTTAAACTAGGCCGCAGCCTGTGGGAGGTTCTGGGGCATGGCGGGCACCCAGTGGGTGCTGGGCAGTGCCGCCTGGTTGCAGGCTGCTGGTGCAGAGGAAGAGAGTCTGCCTCTCCGTAGCCCCGCCCACCAATGTAACCCGGAGAGTGGGGTGGGGTCTTCCCCAGAGCACGGAGGACAGTGGAGAAGGAGCTGGGGGCAGCCGGGGGCAGGGCCTGGCGGGAGTGGGAGGTGGCTGCCCGCCCTGCAGATGCCAGGATCCCTGGGCTGTGACTGTGCTGGGGGTGCAGCAGGGCCCGGGAAGTTCCAGCCAGCAGCCCTGCCCCTACCCAGGAGCTGTAGCGGAAGTAGAATATCATCCTGGACAAGATGTTGTCCACCCACGGGAGAATGTGGGCCTTGGCGCTGGCCGCCACCTGGCCATAGGCGAGGAGGATGGTGCTGCTGGCCCACTTCCAGCGCAGGTCCTCCGAGGTCGGGCCCTGGCACGTGGGGGCAGGGATGGTGCTGAGAGGAAGGACCCTGCCCCATGGGCTGCTGGGGGCAGGTGTCCCAGGGTGGTGGGCTTGTGCATATCTTAGGAAACCAGGGAGCATGGAATTGCCCCTCGAGGGGCTGAGCGACCCTGCGGGCCACCAGGGCTGTGTGCAGGCTTGTTCAGTGCTGTGGGAAATGGCCAGTGTCCAGGCCCCCACCTTCCCCCTCTGTGGTGGCTCCTTCCCCAGGAGCCCAGGGCCTGGCCCCTCTTTCTGCTGGACAGGGCAGTGCCCACACCTGTACCCCCTGGGGCTGTGGGGGCCTGGGAGGGTGTGCCTAACCAGAGAGCTGGGCAGGCACAGGGCTGCTCCCTCTGGGTGAGACCCCCCCGCCTGGGTGTCACCTGAGGACCCCTGTGGAGGTGTTGCCCTTAGTGACGAGGCACCTCTGAGGGCTGGAGACACAGGCTCCAGGACCTGCTGTGCCACTTGCCAGCTGTGGGACCCCAGGGCGTCCTGGCCCTCACTGGGCATCTGGACATCTGAGCAGACCCGAAGGGTAGGCAGAGAACCCCTTCCCTCCTTGTGGCCAGGGCTGCCCTGGTCACATGGTGTGCTGCGTCCACCTTCATGGCTGTCCCTGGCCTGTCTCCCCTAAGATGGTCACATGCCTGAGGGCCGACCTCAAGCTGGCAGCGCTGTCCCGGCACGGGTGGGCATGGCACTGCTCCAGCTGCGCTGGGGGTGCCTCAGCTCACCTCAGCCCAGGCCAGGTCGGGGCCAGTATTTAGGAGGAAGCTGAGGCACAGGGGGCCATGCTGCAGGTGGGACTGGAGTCAGGCTGTGTGACTCAGAGCCCGTGCTCCTGGCCCTGCCGTGCCCTGGGAGTCCCTGCTTGGAGGCTCTGGTCTTCACGGAGGGTGGAGGCCCAGGACCAGCCCTGTGCCGAGGCCCGAGCAGGTACCTTCAGGGAGAAGCTGTGCAGGCTCCACTTGATGGGCCCACTCCGCCCGAACTGGTCCAGGATGGCCCAGACGTCATTCAGGTGGCGGTTGGCGGCTAGCCCCACTGTGAGCGCAATGCCCTGTGTGGGGGACCCAATGTTGTAGGCTGGACCTGGCCCCACACCCAGCCCACTCACTGGAACGGGATGGGGGGACTCAGCCGAGATCCTAGGGCATCTAGTTCCCAGCCGCACGCTCTTCAGGACACGTGACTCGGCCTGACCCTGGGGACATCTCTTATGGGGTCTGGCAGGTGGACGAAGGGAGGCAGGAGGCAGAGGGGGCCCTGGAGACTGGTCATCTCTCCCACCAGCTCTAAGTAGGCCTGACCAGGGGTGGGAATGAAAAGACAGATGTGTGGGGTGGAGCAAGAGGACCCCAGCTGTGGGCAAGGTCAGCGGTGACCAGGACTGGGCCTGTGACCAGGGTTCAGCCTGTCAGCAGGGTCCAGGGCTCAGAGTCAAACCAAGGTCAGGGTTTCAGCAGGGAGGTGGCTCAGCCAGGACGGGCGCTAACACCAGTGTGTGGCCAGTTGTGGGGACAGGTGGACTGGGTCCTCACCTCCCTCTGCTTGGGCCACTGGTGGGAGGTCTCCAGGAGGGACTGCAGGTGTGCCCTGACCGTGGTGCTCTCCTCCTCTGCCTGGAGGACCATCCCGTAGAAGGTGAACAGGAAGGTCTGAGGAGAGGGAGCATCCTGTCCGCGGCTGGACCCTCCTGGCCGACTGCCTCCTCCTCCACAGCCTCCCTGACCTGCCCCTGGGCCCTCAGAGCCCTCACCCACAGCCTGGGGTGGCTGCCCCGCTGGCCTGCAGCAGGATGGGCTTCTAGTCCTGCTGCCCAGACCCACCCGTGTCCTTTGGGTCCACCCTGTGTGTCCCGTGGACAGTGCGTGTGGTGGGTGGGGTGGGGGCTACCGGGAGCAGGGCCCACCTTCTCTGGTAACTCTTCCTGCTGGGTGCGGCTGGGCTTGGTGAGGGCCGATAGCAGCTCCCTGGACCACATGTCTGTGTTCAGGAACGGGACGGACTTGGCAGCCACCTGTGAGCAGACGGGGTGGACAGGCTAGATTGTCCTTCCCTCCACTCCCAGAGCTGGGGCCTCTACCAGCCCGCCTAGCCCCAGGCTGTCCTGAGCTCCGAGCCATTGCCCTGGGGCCTCCCCCCTCTGGGCCTCCAGACCACTCTTTTGTTTGATAGCACTCAGGGGTGACGGACATTCCTCAGGACGCCCCTGGATGTGTTCAAGGTGAGGCAGGAAAACCAGAAGCCCAGGGGCTGCAGGGTGTGGTCCCGACCCCCGCTCTGGCCAGTCTCACCATGACAGATGCTCATGTGGGCTGAGGACGCCCCTCTGCAGGGGCAGGACACACTGTGTCCCAGGGCCTGGCAGAGCCTGGCACGTGGAACATGCTCTCACGTGCACTCTGGTCAGCAAGAGATCAAGTGGGTGAGTGGACGCAGGATGCAGGACTCAGGGAGGGCTGACCCAGGTCACATGGCTTCATAAGGTAGAGGCAGAAGATCTGTCCATTTCTGACATTCCCACGTTCTGGGACTCAGCAAGTCCAGGGTCCCCCCCCCCAGATTCTCCTGGTCAGGGAGGCACCCCTCCCTTGCATAATTCCAAACCCCAGATCTTAGAAGACTGAGGAGTGTGACGGTCAACACTGAAGGAGGCGTGTTAAGGAACACCGGTACAACTGAAGCAGAAGGACTGTTTCTTTTGCTGTCATCTGTTGCCGAGGGCAGATGTCAGTAGTAAGAAATGGCACTTTATCAACCCACGAGTAAAAGGCAAGCCATCCGCTTGAGAATGAGGAGAAGATGCACGACGAAGGTTCCACAAACCCAGCTTTGCTCAGATTTAGGGAATGGCTGTGAAGATGGCATCGTGGTGGCCAAGGTTGACGGAAAGTGAAACCCGAGCAAGTCACATGCTGCATGATGTCAGTGAGGGACCACACAGGACCCTGTCCCCTGGGTTGTCATGGGCTGGAAGGTGCCTGTTGCTGAGTGACGCTGTGGCCATCCTCACATCTTTGCTCACGTGTTTGTGGTGATGACAGTGGCACTGGCCCTGATGCTGGGAAGGGTGGTCAGCAGCGGCGTGCCTGGTTTACGTGTCTGTTACATTCTCCTCTTTACTGTAGGGAGCGCCCTTGCCCTTCCGTGAGGCTGCTGACTGCAGAGCTGGTTGAGGCCTCTTGGGTCTTGGGCTGACCAGAGTCTCTGCATTCCATTGAGAGGCCACAGGAGTGACAGCACGCAGCTCTCAGAACTAACCTCAAGGTTGGCAAGACTGACCTCGTGGAAGTGTCTTTAGTGGGAAGGTGGTCAGATCTGCAGACTTTTTTAAGGTCTTGGAAATATTAATAAAAACGACAATGTCAACATCAATCAAAGCTTAAAATATCATACATTTCCCCCAGTTAAGTCTAGTTTTAGGAATTTATCCTGAAGAAATGATTTACCATGGAGAAACGTCTTGTTGGGCAGAAGACAAGCTTAGAGTGCCCCCTGCAGGGGAGATCTCCTCAGCCCTCCCTGGGCTGACCTTGGGTCCCTGAAATGGAAACTGCTCCCCACTTCCGGTAGAGTCTCTGCTCCACTCTGGCTTACTTGCTGATGCAGGGGTGCAGCAGACCCTGGGTGGCTGTTGTGGTTGAGGTGTCCCCAAAAGCTCCCGTGTGAGACAATTCCAGAAAGTCCAGACGGGAAATGATTAGGTGAAGGCAGCTGTGACATAATCACGGGTTAATCCGACGACTTGGATTAGCGGGGTGGCAGCTGGAGGCAGCAGGTCCCTGTATTACAGGTCCCTTTGTATTTCACCCCTGGTGAGCAGAGCCCTCTCTCTCTCTCTCTCTCTCTCTCTCTCTCTCTGCTTCCTGGTTGCCGTGTTCTGAGCTTCTTCCCTCCACCAGGCCTTTCCACCCTGATGTGCTGCCTCACCTCGGGTCTCAAGCAATGGACCGAACCTCTGAAACCATGAGCCAAAATCAACCTTCCCTCGTCCATGTTGCTCCGTCAGGTCTTTTGTTCAATTGACACATGAAACAGTGGCTCTCCACCTGTATGACAGGTGATTGCGGGATTCTTATGAGACTCTGCCCTCTGGGAAGTCCTCAGCCCAGAAGTGCCAGGGGCTCCTGTCAACCCTTTCTGTATGTCTATTGCCGTAAGTACCAGCCCCCCAGGTCCTGAAACTCAGAAAACGAGCCCACCCCAGAGCTCTGCAGTGACCTCATTGGGCAGCAAAAATTGACCCAAACGGATGCAGCAGGATTCATGGGAGTTACTGTGAGTATTTGGTATCTATGTGAAGAGTTATCACTGTATCTGGTTCTGCACCTGCTCCAGACCCGTCTTCTGGGTGTCTGTGGAATATACAGGATGGACATCATTTTGTTTTATTTTTTAAAAAATCTGAAACGTTCTGAATTTTGAAATATATCTGTTTCCAAGCATTTTGATTTTTAAAATTTTTAAGTATTTGAAAATCAAGCCATTTCTAACTTACAGTGAAAGGCACAGCTCAAGGATCTGAGCAGAGACCCACGTCATCCACACACCGTCAAGATGCCGGGTGGGTGCTTCCACCCAGAGAGCTCACTCACGCCCTTCCTAGGAATCCCTGTCACCCGTCACTCCCAGGGTTTCTGACCGACCCCACTGCAGAGGGGCCTCCTCTTGATTCTGGTTCAATTCTCAGCATTTCCCCGGGGCTGTTGCTCCGCCTCCCAGGTAGCTGGGTTAGAGGCTGCCCAGGAGGAGGCTGGTGGGCACTTCCTAGGAGGAGGGAGCCTGTGTGCACAAGCCTCTGCGTCTCTTGGGTACAATCCCTACAAGGGAATTGCTGAGTGAGGGCTGTCAGGTTCCCAAAGAGACAGCAGTCCTGCCTCCCTGTCCTTGCCAACGTTGGGTGCCCTCAAGGGGCATATGATGGCAACTCTCCAGCTCCCTGGGGACCGCACTGTGGTCATCTTTCCTTTGCTCAGGGCCATTCCATGGCGTCCTGCGGGAAGCACCCGTCTGCATCTTGCTCACTGAGAGAGCAGAGCGGCTCAGTGTTCCCGCTGAGCTCTGGGAGCGCTCTCACTCTGCGAACAGTCGGAGGGACCTAGGTCTGTGCGTACTTCCTCCACGTCTGCGGCTCCTCTTTCCCTGTTTTGGATAAGCAGACGTTTCCATGGTAATGGAATACAACTTGTCAATTCTTTGTATTATTGTCTTCTGAGTCCCAAGAAATAGTTACCCAGTCCAAGTTGGCAAGTTCATCCTGTGTTTTCTTCTAGGTGCTTTTTAAGTTTTGGCTCTACATTTAGATCTTGGTTCCAATTTATTTTTAAAGAATCTTTATTTTTTATTGTAGTTGGACACATACCTTTATTTTATCTATTTTTATGTGGTGCTGAGGATCAACCCAGGGCCTTGTCCCAGCCTCCCAATTAATTTTTGAAAGTGGTTTAAGGTAGACAATAAAGTTCATTTTCCCCTCAGAAACAGATAATTGTTCATGAGCCTTGTTCAAAAGACTTTCCTTTCCTGTTGAATTGCTTTGGCAGCTTTAAAAATCATTAGAGTATGTGCGTGTGGTTTTATGTGGGATTTTCTAATTATTTATTTGTTTCACCAGAGCCAGTGCCTCATCTCTCTGTTTCCTGTGCCTTAGAGCAAATGATCTTTTACTGTGGTTTTAGACTTTTACAAAAATATCAAAATCAAGTTGTGGAATTCTTGCAATTTTGTTTTATAAAAGGATTATTTTAACTACTCTAGGTCCTTTGAAATTTCCATGTAAAAATTTAACCTATAGATTATGTTTATTGCCTCCCCTGATATCTTCTGCTATCTATTGCTCATTCAATAGCATATTACTTATTCTCCAGGTGTTGGAATAGCTTCTATTTTTGTATTTTATCATTGATTTCTAATTTCATTCCATTATGATCTGATAACACAGGGTAGTATCTCTGTTTTTTTATAGTTGCTGAGAGTCGCTTTGTGGCATAATATATGGTCTATTTTAGAGAAGGATCCATGTGCTGCTGAGAAGAAAGTGTATTCACTTAATGATGGATGAAATACTCTATGTCTGTTAAGTCTAAATCACTGGTTGAATTACTGAGTTCCAAAGTTTGTTTAGTTTTTGTTTGGAAGTCTATCCAGTGGTGAGTCACTCATTATTATTGTGTGGTCTATTTGCTCCTTGAAATTGAGAAGGGTTTGTTTGATATACGTAGATGCTACGTTGTTTGGGGCATAAATATTTATGATTGTTATGTCTTTTTTTAAATTTTTAATATTTATTTTTTAGTTCTTGGCGGACACAACATCTTTGTTGGTATGTGGTGCTGAGGATCGAACCCGGGCCGCACGCATACCAGACAAGCGCGCTACTGCTTGAGCCACATCCCCAGCCCCAATTGTTATGTCTTGTGGATGATTCCCTTAAGCAGTATGAAATGACCTTTGTTATCCCTTCTGATTAACTTTGGTTTGAAGTCCACTTTATCTGATATGAGGATGGAAACCCCTGCTTGCTTCCACGGTCCGTGTGAGTGGTATGTTTTGACCCACCCTTTCACCTTCGGTCTGTGGATGTCTTTTCCTGTGAGATGAGTTTCTTGAAGGCAGCACATTGTTGGGTATTTTTAAAAAACCCAATCTGCCAGTCTATGTCTTTTAATTGATGAGTTTACGCATTAACATTCTGGGTTATTATTGAGACGTGGTTTATATTCCCGATCATTTTGGTTTATTTTTGGTTTTTAACTTGATTTGATTTCTCCTTTGATTGGCCTTTCCTTTAGAGTAGATCCTCCCTTTGTTGATTTTCATTGTTGTTTTTCTTTTCCTCCTTCTGGAACATTTTCCTGAGAATGCTCTGTAGTGCAGGCTTTCTCACTGTAAATTCTTTTAACTTTTCTTTATCATGGAAGGTTTTATTTAGTCATCAAATCTGAAGCTTAGTTTTGCTGGACATAAGATCCTTGGTTGACATCCATTTTCTGTCAGAGCTTGGTCTATGTTGTTCCGGGATCTCTTGACTTTGAGGGTCTGGGTTGAGAAATCTGAGATTCGAATTGGTCTCCCTCTCTATGTGATCTGAAACTTTTCTCTTGAGGACTTAAGATTCTACCCTTATTCTGTATGCTAGGCATTTTCATTATAATGTGCCTTGGGGTGGATCTGTTGTGATTTTGTACATTTGGTGTCCTGTGAGCCTCTTGTATTTGATTTTCCAATTCATTCTTCATGTTTGGGAAATTTTCTGACACTATTTCATTTAAGAGATTGTGCATTCCTTTGGTTTGTATCTCTGTGCCTTCCTCTATCCTAATAATTCTTAGATTTGGTCTTTAGATGTTGTCCCATAACTCTTGGAAGTTCTGTTCATGGTTTCTCACCATCTTCAGTTGTGGGCAACTTTATTTTCAAGATTATATATTCTGTCTTCATTGCCCGAAGTTCTGTCTTCCAGGTGATTTAGTCTGTTGTTGATGCTTTCTTCTATTGAATTTTTAAATTTAGTTTATTTTTTCTTTCATTTCAAGAATATCTGTTTTTTTTTCAGAGACTCTCTCTTGAAGTAGTCTTATCTACCTGTATTTACTCTCTTATCTCTTTGTTGGAGTGGTCAGTTGCTGCCTGAGTTTGCTCTCTTAATTCATTCTTTCCTTGCAGATCAGGTTAATCCTGTACATTCTGAACTTCTCTGACGTGTCATCTGCTGTCAGTGGACTCCATTATTGTACACTTGGTTTGTTTCGTGCTCTTCCTTCCCTTGTCTTTCAGGTTGTCTGTGTGTCCTCCTCTCTAACAGTGGGGGTCCAAGGTACTACAGTTTCTACCCTATAATCTTGTAGTGTCCCTGCAGGGACCTGGATGATGGTCTTTAAAAATATATTTAATTCTGCACCAAAGCCTCTGGGACTTTTATTGGCTTTTAAAAAATTAATTTTGGACTGTCATATCAATTTGGGGAGACATGATATCTTAGCATTACTTAATTTTCTTATTCATGAACACCATACATCTCCATTAAAAATTTACTTTTTGTAACACTGTCAAGATATTGCACATATTTCATCAGATATATCTTTCAGCCTTTCATATCTTTCATGCTGATATGCCATTTAAAAAAATCCATTTTCCAATTATTTGTTGCAGATAAATACAAATTCAGTTTATTTCTATATGTTAATCTTATATCCTGATATGTTGCTAAATTCAATTATAAGTAATTTTCAGTTATTTTAGATTCTGTAAGATTTTCTGTGCATGCAACCATGTTATCTGGAAAGCAAGACAGTTTTACTTTTTCAATTGCAATCTGTATGTCTTCTCTTCTTTTTCTTACCTTATTGCATTGGTTAACAACTGTAGTACAATTCTGATGATGTGGAAAAACTGGGTATCTTTGCCCTATTCCTCCTGATTAGCAGGGAAAGTTAGTCTTTGTCAGTGTGTTTGCTGTAGATTCAGAAGCCTTGTCAATTGGGAAGTTTCTTTTTACTCATGGTTTGTTGAGAGGTTTTTAACATGAATAAGTATTAAATTTTGTCAAATGCTTTTTCTTCATAATTTTTATTAAATATGATCATAATTTTTCTAGTTTATTCTATTGGTGTGTTGGATTACATTTATTGCTTTTCATACAATAGGTCGACCTTGTGTCTCTCAGATAAATGCTGCTTAATCATGGTGTGTTATCCTTTTATTCAGCATGTTAATATTTTGTTAAAAGCCTTTGAATCAATCTTCATGGAAAATGAACTGTAGTTTTTACTTCTTTATTTTTTTTTAATGCACAATACCTTTATTTTATTTATTTATTTTTATGAGGTGCTGAGGATTGAACTCAGCGCCTTGCGCATGGGAGGCAAGTGCTCCACCACTGAGCCACAACTGAGGCACTGTAGTTTTATTTCTTATGTCATTCATTTCAGGATCATGGATTTGCTGGCTTCATGAAATGACTTGGAAAGACTTCTTTCTCCCTCTATTTTCTTGAAATAATTTGTGTAGAATTGGTATTATTTTTTTCTTAACTACTGATAAAATTCACCAGTGAGGTGTCTGGGCGGGGAGTTTTCTTTGTGGGAATGAGACAAAGAAAAGATCTGAAAAAAATCACCTGCTCTTGGCTTTTGAGTGAACCCTCTGGACTCACCTGCTCTTAGTCACTTGCTTTTAGTTAACTATACCTGACCTCTCTGATGTGAGGGTCGCGGTGTTGACAGTTGTTAAGTTGATCCAGTTCCTTTCCCCATGCCTCATCCCATAAATAGCCCCGAATTCTATAATCAGGCAGGTGAATTTCAGACTTGCTCTCCCATCTCCATGCTCTTGCCTGGTGAATAGACTCTCTTTTGTAAGACTCTTCAGTGTTTGACACATTCTTGGAAGGTAAAATGGATGTGGCTTGGTAACCAGAAGGTTTTAAATTATACTACCAGTTTAGTACATATAGGACTACATAGATTTTCCATTTCTTCTAGTGTCAGCTTGGTAATTTGTGTTTTTCAGGGAATTCATTGCATTTTTAGTCTGATTTATTGGAATCATATTTCATTATCACCCTTTAATATCTAAAGGATTTGTAATGTTCCTTATTTTTTTCCTGAAACTGACATTGTATGATTTTTCACTTGATCAGTTTATTAATTTATTAATCTTTTGATGACACTTTTTGGTTTTATTCATTGTTTGTTGTTTGTCTTTGTTTTAGTTCTTTAACATACAGTTTAGTATTTATTATTTTCTTCCTTCTACTTTTTTTGGGTTTAATTTGCTCTTTTTTGGTAGTTTGTTAAAATGAGGATTTAAATAATTTTAAACATTTCTCCTGTTCTAATACAGGCATTAAAATACAAATTTCCCAGCATTGCTTTTTGTCATCTCTCACAAATGTTTCTATGTTGTGTTTTTATTATCATTCAATTAAAATAAAAATATTTTCTAGTTCTCTTGTGATTTCTTCTTTGACCCATGGATTATTTAGAACTGTGTCGTTTAATTTCCAAGCATTGGAGTTTTTCCAGATACCTTTTAGTATTGACCTCTAATTTATGTTTTGGTCAGAGAAAGTACTGTTTGACTTCAGCCCTTTTAAATTTATTGAAAATTGATAGATGCCAGTGTGTGGTGAGCTACGGAATGTTCTATTTGCATTTGAAAGGAATGTCAATTAGATCAATTTGGTTAATGGCGTTGTCCAGGTCTTGGGTTTCCTTAGTGATTTCTGTGCTCTGTTCCATTAATCACTCTTGTCCAGCGCTGTGACAGCGTGACCAGCACTGAGCCCCGCTCGCCCTGTGGGTGCCATGCAAAGGCTCCGTGGTGGTCAGCGCCCAGGGTCTTCACGGCGGCCCTCTGAGCCAGGACTTTTATCCTCACTGACGGATGGTGAACTCGGGAACAGCGGGGCTGACGAGGCCACAGCTGTGATTGGTTGAACGTGAACCCAGGTCTGCCGTGGCCCTTCTCTCAGGTTTGTGAGCTCCAACTCGGGGGGTGTCCGATGGGGCTGCCCTGAGATGGCGCACCCCAGTCTGCTTCCCCCTTTCAGCTCTGGCCCCTGTGTCCTCTCTGGTCCCTGGCCATGGTGGATCCAGGTCCTGGGCAGAGTGGAGGCTTGTGTGTCGACACCTGCGCTGCCTCAGGACCAGAGACCCAGGCTCCAGTCCCCACTGTGGCTAAGTCCCCTCCCGTCTGCTCATCTGTACGTGGGGA